GTGCCACCCATAAAGGGCCCCCTCATGCCACCCACACAGCACATCCTGCACCCAGGGGTGGGGAAGGGCCACCACAGGAACCAACCAAACTGAAGTGACTTGGAATTGAACCCCCTGGAAGTGTCCAAGGCCAGGTTGGAGCAACCTGGGCTAGTGGAAGGTGTCCCTGCCCGTGGCAGGGGCTGGACAAGATGAGCTTTAAGGTCCCTTCCAACCCCGCCACTGTGTGATTCTGTGATCCCATGACTCCCCCAGGCACTCCAGGAAGAAACCCATGTTTATTTAACCAACCTTTCCCTGATTTTAACATAATTAGCCGCCAGCTGCCAGTCAATGTCAGCTCCATGAATCCCTGCTAATGGATCAGGTTCAGTTGGCTGCGAGTGAATCGATGGAGGAATTAAAATGCATTCACACCGCTCCTTCTCCGCTGTCATCTTATCTCTGTGCTGCTGAGGAGCTCAGCACATCACAGGATCCATCATCATTTCGCCTTTGTAGCTCGCAAAATTCATAATTAACAAAAAATTCCTATTCACTTGCTCATGTAATTTAATTAGTTTTCCATTAAATGGAGACTAAATATCATCTATTCCCCAACAGAGCAAATAATTGTTTTCCATTCTTTCAAGAAATTATCACCCACTTATTGTAACTCCAAATTCATGAGGTGCCTTGGAGCAGCGCTGGGAAAGGGTGGAGGAAGTGGGAAAAAGTGGGAAAGTGCTGGAGGAAGGGCAGGGAGGGGCTGGGAAGGGGTGGCAGGGTTTGGGACCTCCCAGGATGTCCCCACTGATCCCAGTATGGGGTTACCAGCACCCAGTGCTGGATCCATCCCACTGTGCCCAGGGGCTCTACCACCTTTTCCATCTGGGATTGCCTGTGGATGCTGGCATGGCCAAAGGGTCGAGGACTGGGATTGGGATGGGCACAGCCCCACAGGGCCATGCTGGGGTCACTGCCAGCTGCCCAGTGCCTTCTGAAGCCTGGGAAGCAGCCAGAACCCCCCCAGCCAGCCCAGCTCTCCGGAACGGGGCTGTTCATCCGGATCCCGGGAAAGATTTCATTTCCAGTGGAAACCTCTCAAGCAGATACCTCCCTTGGAGGAATAAACCTGTTCAAGGGAACGATTTTCTCTGTGCTCAGAAGAACCCTGTAACGCTTTGCTGCTGCCATGGCCCAGGGCTGGCGTGGGGTGGGAGCCAAGGGGAGCCTGTGCCCCCTGGGTGCAGCTGGAAATGGGGGGGGAGCAGCGTGTTCCAGCCCCCCATGGTGAGTTCCAGCCTTCTAAAGGTGGGTTCCAACCCCCTCAAGGTGGGGTCCAGCCCCCACAATTGGCTCCAGCCCCCCATGGCAGGTTCCAGTCCCTGATGGTGGCTGTCAGTACCCCCCAGTGGGTTCCATCCTCTCAGGATGGGTGCCAGTCCCCCCACAGTGTATTCCAGYCCTCCACAGTGGGTGCCAGTCCCCCC